CTACTAGGCTTAGTGGAACGAGTTGACATGACTTGGTCAAGGAAATTCAACTCTTCATGTTTTAGAGTGCAGAAACAACTCCTTCAACATATTTAATTTTCTAACGAATACTAGGTGTTAAATTTTAAAGTAAAAAAGAAAAGTATAATTTTTAGGTTTTAACTGTAATGCAATAAAAGCAAAAGTAAGGATTTTTAAAAATACTTGGTAAAATTACAAATCCTGAGAAAAATTACTTAAGTACTGTAACAAAGTAAATGTACTTAGTTACTATAAACCTCTGCATTTAGGCAACTAAATGAAGGAAAAAGAGTAATAAAAGTACAGTGATGTAAGGAGTTTTGTGTTTAATTTCATTGAGTGGAATGGTTGCAAAAAAATCAGCAGTTTTTAGTTGCATTCTCACTGTGTTTTAAATGTTTGTGACCAGTCTTTTACACGGCCCATTTTTCAAAATAATGGCCTATTTTTGTGTTCACAGCCTGGAATGTGCACCACTGTTATCACATCATACTGTGCTGCAACATTTTGATACTTTCTAAGGGTTACTTTTGGGAATGCTGTTCATTAACTAGTCAATAACAGTCACGGCCCAGTGAGATACTGCCATGTGTAGTTGTACCAGCAGTGACGGGCAGTTTTTCCTCCACCCCCTGGGCTTGAAATGTGCCCATAACTTGCTTATAGTGTGGCTCTTGTCAACAGCATTTTCCCCTTTTACTTAACAGAAGCTGTGGTACTTTCAAACACTAACTTTCTGAGCAGGAAGTGGTGCTTTTATGCAGTGAAAGTGATGAGTAAAAGTACAAGTATCTTACCAAAAAATGACTTTGGTAAAAGTTAAAGTCTCCTTTAGGAATAATACATGACTAAAAGTCTTAAAGTATCTGATATGTTTTGTACTTAAGTATTAAAAGTAAAAATATTAATTTAAAATGAGCAGTTAGATTTTCTGTAATGACATTTATTAGGAGGTGACCTCCCTTAAAACAATACAGAAATGACTGTTGTATTAAAATAATTAATTTATGTTAAATTTAGGATGCACTAGTCCAGCTGTTTCAGTTTATATACATATATCAAGGCTGCACAAAGCTTTTCTCCAAAATGAAAATCTATCTGTGGACCAAATGCAAAAGTATAATTCATGAAATACAAATACTTCTTAAGTACAGTCCTTTTATTTTAATGATTATGTCCTGCTGGAG